ATAGAGTATAAGTAATTGCCACAACTAATACATAGAAAAGCCAGAAAGAATTAATTATCATATGATTTATGTAAGTGTTACCTCCTCAACTTCAATGTCCATGTGTGCTTTATCATCCTTATTTTCTTCCATTTCTTTCCCATGATCATCTTCATTCTCGACCTCATCTTTTCTTTCTAACGCTATCTTAGGCTATATAAATGTCAAAACCAAAATGAAACTTTTATAAAGAATGAACGAGCACATGAAACAGGAGAGAATTTCTTACCTCCTCTCCTCTACTCTCATCTTTTCTCACATCCTTCTTTTCTCTCTCTTGTTTTTGTTGCGTAAACTTTTTCAATATTGGCCTTAATGGCCTTCGTATCAACATCGAATGAGACAAGTTCCTGCTCATAAGCTTCATTCAACATTAACAACTTCTCATAAGCTTCGGTCCACATTAATAATTAAGTTTCAGTAAGCAAATATCACATATAAGAAGGTCACACATAAATGTCACATATAAAAAGCTTCATTCTACCATAATATTACATAAACACTACATTTATCACAATCAACTGGTAAATATCATAGGAAATACCCAATTGGCACAAATAACAATGTATCACAGCCTACATGTAAATGTCACAGAAAATAGGTAAATATCACAAAATAACACTTATTATCACAGCCAACATATAAGAGTTACATGAAATAAACAATAATCACATAAAAGACTATTGTCACTATAAAAATATAAATATCACATGATAAGAATTAAACTTGTCTCACCAATGCAACAGTCGATTGACTTCTTTTCTCTTTTTTTAACTATTCTCTTTCTTAATGAGTTTTCAAAGTCTAATTTCTCTGCTCTTGCTTGATCTCCTCATGGATGTACCACGGCATGTCTTGCTCTAGTAAGATGTGGATTGCGGCTTCTAACTTCTTCATAATTGTTTCACTTTGCAATAACCCACTTTCTTACCTTCTAGAGTCCAATTAGTCATTAGTGGCTTTGAATCGTTGACTTTGACATATTCTTTGATGTTTGTGATCTTATAGTATCATAGCTTCAAAAAAGTAATATTCAATTAATGAAATCAGCTCATTTCATATCACTTATCATAGATTAAAACTATCACAAATGTCACATATTAGTAATACATGTCATATTTAAACGACAAATATCACAAGTTAGAGACAAATGTCACATATAAATGTCAAATATCACAATTAAATTTCACATTTTAGGGACAAATGTCACATATCAAGGACAAATGTCACGTATCAATAGCATATATCACCTGTAAAAGATAATTATCACAAATCAAGGGCAAATGTCACATAATAAGTACAAATAGCATAAATAACTCACCGATATCAAGAGAGCGTAGCCACTAAGGTATGTCAATCTCTTTTTAGCTATCTTGGCAGCTTTTAGAGAATCCCACACTTCGTTATAGATGATGGCCGACCATGGAAAATGATCAACCATATCTATCTCAGTCATAAACTTTAACATATGTCGTGGTGCATTCATTATTGCAATTGGAGTCTATATCATTGTAAGTTGATAAAGAATTTAAAGCATAATAAAATCATGCACATCAGAATTTTTTAGACCCAACTAGTATATCCAATAAGTGCTCAAGATAATCTCGGCCACTCTTGTAAACATCTTGCTGCTTCTTATTGAAGTACATACTCCAAATTCTATTCACCATATCACAATTCGCTTATTGTTTCTCCCCCTCGTCCTTGAACCGTGTTTATTTTTGTACCCAATTTATATCAAATGTATAGGCCTACTCTTTTCCAGTTTGACTATCATTGAAAAAGAACTTTCCTATAGCCAAATTAAGGTGAACTATCAGTAGCATAATTATGGCACTATCAGATGGAATTTCTCCAAAACTAATATAGTTTTAGAAATTGGAGGATCCATAAGTCTTCCAATGATTGGCCCTCATTCGTGAAACAATTCTATCTATAAATTCACTATATCCACGTATATTTCAATATATTCTTATATCACCCTTACTATAAAACACAACACAAGAGAAAATAATTCTACTTAGGCTTCTACTTTTAATTGTGGATAAATTTACAATGACAAACAAATAAGTGAACAAATATGAATAAATTCAGAACTAATACTTACCACTTAGCATTTCTTGTTGCTGATTCAGCTTTTGCCATCCTAGATTTTCAGCAAAAAGTGAGGGTTTCAAATTGAGGGTTTGGTTCAATTGAGATTCTGTGAAGAAGAGGAACTTGGGGTCAGTGTTGGTCTCTTAGCCAAGGCTGTGGACGGCGAGCTTGCAGTTGAGCAGGTCCTCGTCGGAGCAAAGACGCCAACGAGCTTCCTTGATCTGGCCGTAGGGGACGACGTCATAGCGTCGACGATGACAGAGCGAAGCTGTAGGGGTCAAGGACGAATAGCTTGCAGTGTCAGCGGTCGCGGTCCTCGTCGACGGTGGTGGAGCAGCGGGATCTTGAGAAGAAGAGTGTGATGAGAAAATATTGTGGGCAATATCAATAAACGTGCATATAAGGGGAAGTATATATTTTTTTGTTTTTAAGTGGGAAGGGTATTTTTGGAAGTGTCCTATTGGGTTGTGGGCTTGTACAGTTTTGGGGTGGTAGTTGCACTAACTTTTCCGTATAAGGGTTGGGTAGCATGAGTTTTTTGGCTAGAGAGGAGGTTGCATAACATTAGTTTTTGAAGTTCCTTCAAGCTATTTTCCCTTTATTTTATATCTAATGACACAAATATGTGTCATGATTTGTCATACTTTTTTATTTGCGCCGCGGTTGTTTAACCTTTTACAAATAAAATGATAATTTTATATGTGTTATAAAATAAGTGTAGACACATGCGACTTTTGTTATAATGAATTAACAACTTCATGAGAACTCATTAAGAGATAAGAGAGATAAAAATTAAGAAGTGAATAGCAAGTAGTTCCTCCTGATCTACACTAATTTCTATACTTACCTCTTTTCTTTCCATCTCTCTTATTCTCTAATGAGCGTCCACAGGCATCTATAATTAGATCAAAAAACCCATCTTTTTAATTATCTGCTACAGTGCTTATCTCTCTTATTTTGCTTCGTTAAATATAAAGAACTTGCCTCACCGAACACTCCAAGAATCCCTACTTAATTAGTTGGTTTGCTCCTTACAACATAATATTCCTCAAGTAGTCAACTAATAATCAACAAGTTGTAGAAAACTTTTAGACCGCGCACAAGTTCCAGCTCAACATCACCTTTCGCTATTCCTTTAAAATAAATAAATAAATAATCATCTTTCACTCTCCATATGCCAAACATATAAAAAAAACCATTTCATTTCTTATAACACTGAGATAACCAAATTTTGGATCTTGCCGAACATGAGTAAAGCTAATGATCAATATATGCGCATGATATTATAGTTCGTCATGGTCTACTAAAATATATGAGTTAATTTGAAGTTCTCTTCTACTGTATCAAAACTTTAAAGTTGTACGGAGATTTTATGGTTATAATTTTAGACTCTAATATGACCTCTTCTCTTTCATTGATTGAAACTGATTCACTCTGCCATATCTTATTTTGCAAAATCTAATTCATATAAGTATCTAGTAGAATTTTAACTTGGATTTCTTTGTTTGACTGATAAATTTCCCTTCCATCATCCTCAAAATTCGAAATAATTGTGAGGATTGAAGCCTGTAGTTTTATATACTTTATTCAAGACTCAGCTTTCTATTGTAAGTTTCTGTAAGTTGGCATCCCCCCCCCCCCCCTCCCACCCCCACCCACAACCACCACCACCAACCTCACACACGAACCAACAAGCAGACAAATAACGTCTAAGGCTTCAATTAAAATTTGCTTCTAGAGTTTTTTTTTTTTTTTTTTTTTGGCTAAATAACCATATAACCTGAAACATTCCCCCTCTCAAGCTCCATGCAAATGCCTGCAGCGCGTCCCTGCAGTTCAATTATTACAAGGTGTGAGCTACTCCAAAACTAAAACATATATTAAATGACACACAACCCACCCCCCTGCATCAATTAAGTTAGACATTTTTTAAAAGAAAACTCTAACACCTGTCAAGCTCACCACCCTCCAAACCCCGCACACGTGTCCGCCCTCCCCTATTGTCCCGTTTCATTCTGAACGTGGGCATCCACTACCGGCCTCTCCTACTTTATTCAAGACTCAGCTTTCTATTGTAAGTTTCTGTAAGTTGGCATCCCCCCCCCCCCCCTCCCACCCCCACCCACAACCACCACCACCAACCTCACACACGAACCAACAAGCAGACAAATAACGTCTAAGGCTTCAATTAAAATTTGCTTCTAGAGTTTTTTTTTTTTTTTTTTTTTGGCTAAATAACCATATAACCTGAAACATTCCCCCTCTCAAGCTCCATGCAAATGCCTGCAGCGCGTCCCTGCAGTTCAATTATTACAAGGTGTGAGCTACTCCAAAACTAAAACATATATAAAGACACACACCCACCCCCCTCATCAATTAAAGTTCAGACATTTTTTTAAAAGAAACTCTACACCTGTCAAGCTCACCACCCTCCAAACCCGCCACGTGTCCCGCTCCCCTAATGTCCCGGTTTCATTCTGACGGGTCATCCACTACCGCCTCTCCCCTCCCATAATACCCTCTTCAACCCCCTCCCTCCCTCTCGTTCACACGCTCCCCTCTCCATTCTCTCACAACATCAAAATGCGAAAAGAAAAGAATAAGAAGAAAAACGGAAAGATATAGAATCAAAATGTCTCAGATTGCTAAGGAGGACCCACAAACCCACACGCCATATTTCCACCTCATCTCCGTCCCCCTGCAACCCGACCCCATCACCCCTTCATTCCTCGACATTGCTCCTACCCGAATCAAACGGCCGATAGCGGCCCAAACCCGGCGCCACGAAGCCGCACCATCGCTAAGCAAAGAAGGCAAGTCTCTCCAGGCCAAATCCTCGCCTATCTGCGGCCCCTCAGGCAGCGAAAGTCAAACGCCTGTTGACCATCCTCTCCGGCCGTCAACGCTTCAAACACTCGGGCTCAATCCTAGTCAACGGAGCTCACTTCACCAAACCCGTCTCGAAACGGATCGGGTTCGTCACCCAAGACGACATTCTCTACCCGCACTTAACCGTTAGGGAGACCCTAGTTTTCTGCGCCATGTTAAGGTTACCGAAAACGGTGACCCGATCCGAGAAGATTCAGGCGGCGGAGAGCGTGATTGCTGAGCTGGACCTCGAGAAGTGTGCGGACTCGGTGGTCGGGAGCGCGTTCGTGAGAGGAGTCTCGGGAGGGGAGCGAAAGCGGGTTTCGATTGGGCATGAGATGCTGGTGAACCCGAGCCTGTTGGTTTTGGATGAGCCCACTTCGGGTCTGGACTCGACCGCGGCTGGGTTCGCTAGCCCGGAAGGGGCGGAGTGTGGTTTTGTCAGTACACCAGCCGTCTAGCGGAGTGTATCAGATGTTTGATAATGTTATGCTGCTTTCGGAGGGTAATTGTGTGTATTTTGGGGAGGGGGTGGACGCGATGGAGTATTTTCGGGAGGTTGGGTTTGTGCCGAGGTTTCATGTTAATCCTGCGGATTTTATGCTTGATCTCGCTAATGGTGCAAATGGTGAGTTATTTTCCTCGAGTTAGATTTTTTTTTTTTTTTTTTGGTTCCAGTTTTACATCACATGTTGAATCGGAGCTGTTTACTTATATCTAATATGATTGTCATTAATTATAAATAAAATAATTAGGAGAGGGTGTGGATATTATTTCTTTCGGTGTCTCACTCTACGCTATTTACTTCAATCGTGAGTCATTTTAAGCTCTTAACTATTATATGACTTACAATTTGAACACGTGCGACAATAATAGTTGAGAACATGGAAGGACATATTAGTTCTGCTTGTCCTTATAAATATAATTACTATAATATTTTATTCGAGATAGACGATGTGTATTTGATTAGAGAAAATGAGAATTTTGATCCAATTTTTTTTTTATTTTTGGAAGGAGTAAGCTCGTGATTTTACCACATTGCAATTTTTTTATTTGAGCATAAATTTAGTAAAATAAGGAAGTTGTTCTGTTTGTATTTAGCTCTAGCTACGAACATATTCTAGAGGACCAGATCAGGGCGCGTAGCTGTCACAAAAAGTTGAGCTTCTTTATTAATGTTCTTTAGCTTTAACACATGTAGATAGATGATGGTGGTTCTTCTCTTAGTTGCTTGATTCTTTTTCAATGAAATTAGGCTTCAAAATAGTGGAGTTGATGAGTTTCTAATTAAGAAATCCATCTTTTTTTGAATTGCTATCTCATAACATACTCCATTACGGTTTTTTTCAAAAGCAATGTTGACATATTTATCTATTATCTAATATCAAAATATATAGGTGATTTTACCAAATTCTTAAATTCACAATATCTTTAATTAAAGGTAGAGAAACTCTAAAAATTGACCGCCGTGTGACGTCAATTTTTTGATAGAACTACACAATCTTAGTTTAGAAAGCTTAATGCTCTGATCGAACACCATGTGTCCTGAAATTGTCCAACAATTACACTTTATCCTCACTTTCGACAAACTTTATTTAGTGATGTGCCACTTCCTACTTTTTTAATATGACCTAAATATTAATTGTACGAATACCCAAATTTAAGTTTCTCTTTCATTCTCATTATTTTCTAGTAATTGTTGGGAGGTCCGGCCACTATTATTTCCATAACCCTCAATCCATCATTCTCAAAATTATAGGACATGTATATATATATATAATAAAGCGAAGAAGACTCTACACTTTGGCGTGAGTGGATTTAGATGTTGATTCCTATATGTACAAATATTACTTCAACTAGCAAAAGTGCGATAGTGATCATCGTTCTTTGAAACCGAATGTCTTTTTTTTTTTAAATATATTCCCCTTTGTTTAAAAAAATCAAAATAGTTCAAACAGAGATATGTCAAAATGATGACACTTTCTCCATTATTTGGCTCTTGGCTTCCACTAACAAAAGCGAGTAGTAGTAAAAGATAGTTACATAATTTGGTGATAGAAAATGAATAAAATGCAACAAAAAAAAAACAGCTCTTTTCCATAGTAAAGATAGTAATTAATATCTTATCAAATAAAATTAGAACCATACAGGGTAGATTAGCATGGCTCATGCACAAGTTACAGTTAAAATCTTTACATAAGCTTGCTTGATGATCTATGAATTTCATTATGAATTTATGCTAACTACGTAAATAATGTTGTTTGTGCAGGTTGTGTTCAAATAGAGTACAATAGTGAAGCAGATAAATCAAATGTAAAGCAAACTCTAGTTTCATCTTACAACAGAGTACTAGCTCCGAAGGTGAAGGCCTCTGTTGAGGCTGCTCTCGCTGCTGTTGCTGCTACAGGAAATCCTCCAACAACAGGTATTTAGCTGCCAAATTCATTACCTGATAGATTAATATTAAAAAAAATTACATCAAACGTTGCAGGTATTTTCAAATTGGAAAACGAGAAATTAACGACAAAAATTTATGATTTAAATCAACTTAGTCTCCAACATTTTAACAGACCGTGTGAGGAGCATGTTAATGTCTGGTTCGTTAGAAAAATGGTGGAAAATTCTATAAATATTGGTTGTAGGTTTAGACTAGATCAGAGCGACTAAGATTTTGTTAAACCATAAATGATAGGATTCACTATGATTGCTGGTGGACATCATGTTTTTCATAAAGTAAATCCTAACATGGTCCAGGATCTGAATTGTGTTTGGCAAAAACTGGGATAGAGTTGGCGCAATTTTTTAGTTCATTTCATCACCCCCCAAAATTGAGCTAGGATTAACCCATCCTATCGCCTGGATCAATCCTAACCTGGTTAAATCCTTAGCCAGGTTAAGGGTGATTAATTTGCAAAGCACGACCTTATGAATGTTGGATGAAGTTAGCTAGGGAAGCAGTCTGATGACATCATATAAGTGAAAAAGAGTAATGAACTTAAAATAGAAAGTTGAGACTAAAAAACTAATCCAAATTCTCACTGTCAACTGAACAGGCACCCAGAGGTCCACGGAGCAAGAACAAAAGGACCACAGCAGCATCAGTTGGTTCACCCAATTCACCATCCTCCTCCGCCGCGGCCTCAGAGAACGCCGCTACGAGACCTTCGCCTCCCTCCGTGTCCTTCAGGTCCTCGCCGCCTCCTTCCTTGCTGGCTCAATGTGGTTCCACTCCAGCATCCACAACGTCCGCGACCGCCTCGGCCTCCTCTTCTTCATCGCCATCTTCTGGGGTGTTTTTGCCTCCTTCAACGCGGTATTCACCTTCCCTCAAGAACGCGCCATCTTCATCAAGGAACGCTCCTCTGGCATGTATACATTGTCTTCCTATTTCATGGCCAGGACAGTCGGCGATCTCCCCATGGAGTTCGTACTTCCTTCAGTATTCACGTTCATTCTGTACTGGATGGCGGGTCTCAGGCCTGAGATCGATGCGTTTTTGCTTACCCTTATTATACTATTAGCCTACGTTCTTGTTGCTCAAGGGCTTGGGCTTGTGATTGGAGCGGCGATCATGGACGCTAAGCAGGCCTCGACAGTTGTGACTGTTACAATGCTGGCGTTCCTGTTGACTGCTGGTTTTTACGTTCAGCATGTACCTGGATGTATATCCTGGCTCAAATACGTGTCGTTTACCTTCTACTGTTATAGGTTGCTTATAGGAGTTCAGTATCGAGGAAACGAGTTAGATCAGTATCTGGGCTCGCATAGTTCTGGACATGGGCAAAGACCAGGAGAAGAAGCGATTTTGACGCAGATTACTGTTAGGGAGAGTATCGCGGCGTTGTTCATTATGTTTTTTGGGTACCGGATTCTGGCGTATATCGCTCTGAGGCGTATCAAAGTTTGATATGCGAAAGGTGGATTTTTTTTTTTTTTTTTGCATCGGAAAATAATTAACAGGAAGAAGAGAAAGCAAAAGTCGAGAAGAACTGTAAATGGTGGATGTAATTATATAAGAGAGATTCCTATTAAGGCTAAGTGGGAAGCTTGTGTATATAAGCATGAACAGCATCATGCATTGATGTTCATCTGTATAGTTTTCAAGATTGAATACGATATTCATCCAGATTAAATAAGTTTAGTAGAAGTTTTGTTGGGTTTTATTGTGTGTACGTAAGTTTTTGGGCTTTTACTCTGTGTACATATTATTTGTTGTATGAAATATGGTTATAAATTGAACTGCACTTGCAATGCTATAAATTGAACAACTCTGATTTTTTTTTTTCCTTAAGAATTGAGCTCATGTCACACCCATGAATCTCTGAAACCCATTCTGACCACATGCGCATTAAGGTTCTAGACCTGGTTGCCCAATTTCGAGTTTTGGTCTCTATTAAGCTTGTGCGCGCGCAATGGCCTCTCTTTTCATAGGCCCATTTACCACACTAAAAAAGAGACAATACATTTAAATATTGTAAACTTTTTTATTTTTCTTGTTTTTCTATGTGGGACTAAAGATAACACTCAATTATGAAACGCAATCAAAACTCCAACACCAAGTTCTATGAGAACTACTATAAATTACAAATACATAGGTGAAATTAATAGCACAATACAAAAGTGGAGGAAGGAAAGCCCACATACCAACAACCTAGTAGAAGCCACAACATTGACTTTGAGAATGCCAGAGTGCTAATGAACGATATCTTTCTTATGCCCAAGAGACATTTGAGGTCGAAGAACGTTCAAAAAGGCAATTCTTTGTGCTAGCTAGTACTATATTCTAGTCGGAAAGTTATTAAGTACATTAGCCTCTATGCTATTAAATTTGCACCAAATGAATGTCAGCCCTTAGGTCATTGGATTTTAACATTTGTGTACAGATCTAAGGGTTAACATTCTCTGAATGCACATTTAATATCATACTATGAAACTTTAGAAAAGGGTAATTGAACAAAAACTAAAAAAGAAGACAAGTACATCTGAAAATCAATTTGGTTTTATGCCTAGGAGGTCAACTATGAAACAGGCAGTGAAAATTACATAAGTGTCTAACCCTGCCAGCCAATAGCTTGGGCTCGTCTGCATCCAGGGAGCCCAGCAAAGCTCGCCTGCAAGCACGAGTGAGCTCGCCAAAACGCTCAGCTCGCCCGTAGAGCTTAACTTCTCATGTTTGTTAAGCTCGCCCGTAGAGCTCAACCTCGCCTCCATGATGAGCTCGCCCGTAGAGCTCAGCTTCTCCTGTTTATTAAGCTCGCCCGTAGAGCCCAATCGCCTCCCGGATGAGCTCGCCTGTAGAGCTCAACTTCTCCTGTTTGTTGAGCTCGCCCGTAGAGCTCAACTTCACCTCCTTATTGAGCTCGCCCGTAGAGTTCAACCTCGCCTGCTTGTTAAGCTCGCTCGTAGAGATCGACTTCGCCTGTTTATTGAGCTCGCCGGCAGAGCTCGATCTCCCATGTTCATTGAGCTCGCCCGTAGGGCTCGATCACTCAATTGTTGAGTTCGCCCGCAGAATTCAACCTCTCCTTGTTTATTAAACTCGCCCGCAAAGCTCAAGCATCCCCTGTTAGCTTGACTCACCCGCATGAATCAAGCTCGTCAAATCATTGAGCTCGCCAGTACGAGTTCAGCCTCGCCTGAATGCTTCGCTCTTCCTCACGAGTCAAGCACGCTTGCAAGGAGTTCGCCCATATGAAAACTCTGCTTGCCAACGAACACCAGCTCACACGTTGGAGGGTCTCACTAGTCGACCCCGCCTGTTCGCCAAGCTCATCTGAGCATTCAGACAGCTCTCGAGCTCTCCCGTAGCTTTGTTAGCCTAGCCTGAGCAATACAAGCGGGCTGCTTGCTTGTGGGAGTGGGCCTACCCACTTCTCATGTCCTAGGTGATGATAAGGCATGACTCTCACCTCCCCTATAGTGGTCACATCCCACGGCTAGGGGAGGGCATGGTGTTCATCATCCATTAGTGGTCAAATCCCATAAATCAAGGGATGGACTCTGTCATCCCTTACTTATTTAAAGCTGCATTCACCAATGTGAAAGGCCGGCTGCTGAGAAGTTGGACAAAGGCTAGAGATTTTGATGCTCAAAGCTCTTCAAACAGAGACCTTCATTCGGCTCACTTGCTTGGTAGAACATTCCTAGCTCTCAGAGTGTTGAAGCAAACTTAATCTGAACTCTCAGATTTGAGGCTTGTCAGCTCTTTGCAAACTCTTGCATCGTAGCTCTCTCCAGGCTCGTGACTTTTTTCAAGCTCGGGTACAGTCGAACTCAATTGCTTCGGAGCCTCTACTACACATTGAAGCTCCAACCGCAACTTCAATTGGATTGTCTAAGGAAAGCAAACTCAGCATTAGCACCGAGAGAGGTGTCCTACCGCTACCAATGAACCCATGTTAAACAAGGATGGCCATTCCCTCCTTCTCTGTAGTAAAATATTAATTGTAGTTTGTAATAAGCCTTTCTTATAAACACAAATAGACCCCCTCATCGGGAAGTCAATATTTTACAAACCAACAGAAGATGGCAACCACAGTGGGAGAAACTATTCACTTAGATGAATTGGTGGTGGTGTAGTTCGACGAAGTCGCGGAAGGGACAACTATTGAGTCTCTTATGATCGAGTTCGTCCAACCTAAGTACGAAGAATACTTGTCTTCTTCCTCCTGTAGTAGCCATGCATCACGCAAGCGCTACAGAGTCGCGCGTGTGGCCCGGCCCTAAGTGGTCGAGGCAACCACGCCTGAGAGCTTTACCTGAGCTAAAGCAGGGGCTTCTGTCTCCCCCAGGTCAGCTAAGGCCAAGCCGAAAGCCAAGCAAGCGAGCCAAAAGACTTCTCGTTGGGTTCTCAAGCAACCCACGTAGTCCCCCATGCAAGAGGAGACTGTGGTACGTGTTGGCACGGACCACGTCTTCGTCATCAATATGAGTCTCCCCCTCTCCAGAAGAGCCCAACGGCGGCGATGACAAGCTCTCACCCGCCAGAAAGCCCCAGTCTCCACTTCCTATGATGGCCTAAATTACTATTCAGGCCTAAGAAGAGCCAGACATGAACGAAATGTTTCCAGTTTTGACGAATCAAGTCAATCAGACGAGCCTGCTATCCAGTTTCTGTGATAATTTACCCAAGACTCCCTCTCTCTTACTTTAACACAAACATTAGCTAAAAAATGGTAAATAACTCATTCAACTATGAGAAGTTTATTTTCACCAAATTGTCACATGTAACATAAGAGAATGAATAAACAACAACAACAATCATACATAAAGTAACCTCAACAAAATTATTCTCCAAACAAATCAATGTTCCATATAACACATCAATCTTGAGGGTTTCAAACTTCTATGCTAAGTGCTTGGCACAAACCACCACCAGTAGTCTTGATCGTGATCAGCCTACACACCGACATTGACCTAGAGCGGAGTCTCATCTTCTTAGTAGATCCATTGACCTAGAGCAGAGTCTCATCTTCTTGGTAGATCTATTACCGTCATCAATATTCACAGGCCTTCATCTTCATCAACAAAATCTAATTAGAAAAGCATGAAAAAGGATTAAGTCTTTAGAACATAAAGTTTATGATAAGAGGTCATTTATTAAGATTTCAATCTATATAGAAAGTTAAGTAGGATAAGTTTCAAGAATATAAAACTTCTTGTAAGAGGTTATTTAACAAACTAATATAATTGATCCAACACTGATATTATTCTACTTTGCATTATGTAGATGTGGAGCAATCAGTAGATAAGAAATGTGGGTAAACAAGACAACTAAAATGTAAATAAGAAAGATAAATAATTTTTCATTTTAAAAATTTTAACAAATTAACTATTTGAGAAAGCAACACAAAATAAGAAGATAAAACTTTCCAACTAAGTCTACATATTTTTTTACCTATCAACTAAACTGTAATATATTCATTTAGATCTTAAAAGAAAAGATTAAAATGCATAAAGGTATTTAACCAAGCCATATAAATAAATAAAATAAGCCATGTGAATATGTAATAGTGTTGGCCTTTTTGTTTTGATGATGTTTAACAAATAATTTACTGCTAATATTGTTTGTCTAGTATTTGTGTTTTTTTTTATTTATTCTAGGCAAACAATACGTTAGAGGATGGATAGAATCGAGCTTTCACGATCATATCCAATGGAGGTTGGTGGAATAGTAGAGTGAAGCAATACAATTCAAGTTGAAGATCTAAGTTCAAACTTCATCCGCAAGTGTACCAAGTCGAGCTTATTGAAGATCTTCATCAAGTTTGGGTATAAATAGTTTATGTTTTATATTATGTGTGTTGGTACTTTAAGCTCAATTATATACACACACATTTTATTGGTTTCTTTGGATATATATATACACACAAATTTTGGTTTTATGGTTTTCTAGTTTAAATATGAAACAAATACTTATTTATATACATACATACATGTTTCATAGTTACCATGTTTGGTTTTGATAAACAATGTGTTTTGCCACATATACATGAAAATGAACAACACATATACATATATATATATATATATTTTTTCATGATTATATGTGAAAATAGTGTATTCTATTTTATAGACTTAACAATTATAATATACATCTTCTATTATGTCTATAAAGTCAGTTTATAAAGTTTTAAAACATGGTGTAGTCAAAATGTCAAAACAAGTATGTTTACATTTTTATGTTTTGGACTATTTTGAAAAATGATGAGATTTCTTAAATGGGAGGTGATTTTTGAAAACCAGTTTTTGTAACATGTGTATTATCATGTCTACAATCATTTCTCAAAGTTTCATAATTTTTGGAATTTATTTTCTATTTTTAAAGGTAGTTTAAAAATTAGATTTACTGTTTTAATCAGGCTGATACAGTGCTATCAGTCGACTGATACATGTATTCAGTCGATTGAAGATATCACCTGGAATAACAAAAAGTTTCTGTTTTATTTTGGTCGACTGACCAGTTGACTGATGAGGTCATCAGTCGACTGATAAGGTCCGTCAGTCGACTGATGAGCTGGAAAACGACTCTAACGGTCAGCTCATTAGTCGATTGATAAAAGTTATCAGTCGACTGATGCTGTAATGGCTAGTTTTTTCAGCCTTTGTCTTGATTTAGTTTTTTGATCTTTTTGCTTTGATTTTCTTGTGCCTTGGGGTCTCTATAAATACCCCTCATACCTCAGACCAAATA